GAAGTTGAACGCATCTTTGTCCAGCGGTAGTCCCCTCCCTGGGTACGGAGTCAACAGGTGGTCGCTTAGGGGGTAAGCCGCGTCTCCGAGCATGTAGAAGCCTGGCGGCAGGTTTTTTACCGCTGTGGATAGATCCGAATGGTTCCATGCCGTCCAGTCATTGGTCGAGCCGGGTGCAATGCAAGACATGCTGCAAAACCGGTAGTTGGCATCGCATGTCGCCTGTACGTTCACCCCGTAGCCGCACTTGCTCCCAGAATAATACGAGAGAACGTTCGGAGTGTTGAGGGCAGTCGGAGCAAGAGTCTTCACGAAGAGGCCATCCCCCGCAGCTACTACACCTTGAAAGGCGCCGCCCGTGCTTTTTTCCTGAGGATAGACATGGCGCGCGGGGAGGGACACAACAGAGGCGCTCTTAGATTCGTTAAAGTTTGATTTTCGGGCAGCGGCAAGCCCATCGACTACCCCAGAAAAAACGTACAGGCGTGTGCGAGCAATTAAAGACGAGCCCTCTCCTAGACATGCCAATCAATACAGTGCAGACTGGAGCTCATTTCGCCATGCATCAAGCCAATACGTGTACACAAGATACAGAGGTTTCCCCGTGCTGTCACAAGTGTTTCCCGCTCGCTCCTTATTCGGTGCGTCTAGACAAGCAGGATATTCTGCCGAGCGGAGGACCGACATGCATGCATCCATGCAATCCGCGTCATTTGTTTTGGGCCAGACTCTGCAGCGTGGTGCCTTGCTTATGTACCATACACGTTAGGAGGCCTGCAGCCTACGGAAAAGGTGAAATTGAACTGCTCTTCCGACACCAGACCCGGTAGGCATACCAAAGCACAACACCTGTCTGTCCATTTTCGCCGCCTTGCCTGTTCTTGGCCATGTTCGCACGTACGTCTGTTCGCATACTGTAATCTATATTCGAAGTAATGCTGAAACTAAACCGCCACCAAACAACCGCCACCAAACACGATCATGTGTTTGTTCACATCATCATAGTCACCTACCTGGAATGCAAACATGCAATCTACCCTGCGGCTGTAAACTAGGGTATCATTTCCGCACCTCCCATTCTGCCGCCTGCCGGGTGCACTCATCCTCGCTCTGCGGAAAAAAGAACGGCCCAACCTCTGCTGTGCTGTTGATGGCATCCACCACCTGCCACAAGATGCTGAAGACCGTCTCCTTGGACACGCCGAACAGCACGGCGACATCGAGATACGAAGCACCGGCCATCATCCGCAAGCCGATAGCTAGTCGGATCTTCGTGGGAACAGCACCGCGTCGATACCGTTTTCCTGATTCGCATGAAGCACAAAACAAGCATAGCGTGAACGTATCAGCAGACGAAAATAGCAAGTGCTGGGCGGTGAAACTGTTACCCTAACCCTAGTCAGACACCGGAGGTCACCGTCCTGCTGGTGTAAACCATCCTGCTGGTGTGAGAGTGGGGGCGGTGGTGCTGCGGGATGATTCGCCTTGTTCCTACAGCAGTAGTCTACACTTTTAACCAATAGTCTACACCAACCGTGGTCTTCTGCAATGCTACACTTCAGCATCAGCAACAAACGGAAGGACGGGAAAAACACCACGGCATGAGTTCTGCGCCTCGTACGTAAATCACACACACTCTCTCTCTCCCTGCCCCCCGGCCCCCCCATCTCTCCCTCCCGCCCTCTCTCTATTCTCACTGGCGTCGTAGTCGTTCCGTTGGAGGATCGGTTCCAGCAACCCAGCCAGTTTGTTGAACACCGGTTCCTCCATGCGATACATCCTCCGGAAGAGCTTCCGCTTCTTGAGGTCAGCAGCGTGATCCTCCCAAACCAGGCGCCGTGGCTCGTGGATAGCCGCACGCGTCTTGTTAGCGCTAGCGTGCACAGCTACAGAGGTGACCACTGCCGCCGCGCTCAGCACCAGAATCACCGCAGCAGCAGCTGCTTTCATCTGCCGCACCAGCTCTTGGCGACCGGATGCACGCCTGAATCGTTGGCTCGGTGGGCCAGCACACGACGAACCAAGAGGCGCGCCGCGTTTCCTGCGGTCCGCCATGGCCCTGCCGCTATCCAAGTACCCTCCGCTGCTGCTTCTCCCTTGTAGTTGGCCCTGTAGGTCCTTTAGCTGCTGGGTTTGTTGTGATGCTCCAGTAAATTTGGAAAATGTGGAAGCTACTGAGTACAAATTTTGGCGCCCAGGTTCGTTCCAAATGTATTTGGACAAACGCCTCTGTACAAGTTCCGAAATTTCGGAAAATTTGTACTTTTGCCACAAAAATTTGGAATGTATAAGGGTCGACCTAAACAGGCCAAAAAAAACCTGCGAAACCTGCAATCACAGGTTTTACCTGCGAATATGGAGGCTTTTTACCTGCGATCGCAGGTCGGGAGCAGGGCCGAAAAAATCACCTCTGCTCCTTTTCTGCGATCGCAGGTACAAACCTGCGATTTCTGCGATTCTCTTGAGAGCATCACGTTGGATCGGGCACAGCACACCAAGCCACCTGTATCACCCCCGTAGCTGCACTATAACCCCCAGAACTGATCGCCAGAGTAGGCTAGGGTCCATGGCCGACAATAGAAGGCGCCGGGAGCTTCGGGGAACCTCACAGACGGCTCCGCAAAGGCGGCGACTGCGGCGCTCCGACCAAAGAGACCATGATACGACTTCTACTGCTGCGATCAAGGCCGCCGTGATGGCCTTCCTTGTCCTGGTCGGTGTTGCAACGGCAGGAGCTCAGGCCGCTGAGCTGTACGTGCCGCAGCAGCGGAAGAGCAGGAAGACTGGTCTATCCTAAACGCCTGCCGACGACCTTGCAGGGCTGAGCGAGCGGCGGTACTCCCGGCGACGACCTCGCGAGACATGCCTGGCGGAGGGCTGATGCCCACAACAGGAGGCATTTGAGGCCGTCCTAACCCATAACCAGCAGCAGCAACTGCTTCCCCGCTCGTCTGGAACCGTAAAGGAAGGGACCCAACCCTCCTGGGCCTTGATACCCGCGGTGTCACACTGTTTTGGTCGGCCATGGTGGATGTTTGTCTGCTGTGTACGGCCTCTGCTGTTGTGTACGGCCTCTGCGGTCGTCGGGAGCGGTTTGACCGCCAAAATCGCAGAAATCGCAGGTTTTTTAAATTTTGTGCTCTGCTTCGTTTAAAACGCCCGCATTTATTTTTCTGCGATCCGGGGTCTGAAACCTGCGATCGCAGGTAAAATTCCGAGGTCGTTTAGAACGACCCTAAATCGGCCCTAAGGAAAGAATTGGTTCCTACCGGAAAGTCGCAAAACAACACCACCCCAAGCCCTCTGCACCGCCTCTTCTTACTTCTTGGGACGCCCGGCAACGGCACCAACCTCAACCTTTACCGCAGGTGGGGCGACACATGATCGAGCGAAGCACACTCACAAATTCCACCCAGCTGTCGGCCAATATATTATGTTCCGATACGCGTGTAATAAGGCCTGGCTTTCGCCCCCCCGTTCATCTTACGCGATTGCTATTGCTTTTTCTACGAACGCTGCCTGGTCAAGACTCCTGTGTGCGTGTTCGTCCCATTCCTCTGTTTCCAGTCTACACATCCCTCGGTATATGTACGTTTGACGTATCAGCCGGGGTCGCAAATATCATTCAACTACTAAAGCGAACGTTCCGAACAGTGGCAGAGGGTGACCAAGACCAGAGGCTTCCCCTCTCCACAGTATGCATCAGCGACACCAGCCGCCACTGTAACGCCAAGGAGAGCACGAGTGGTGACAGCAGTGACGTCACGACAATCCACGTACGTCCTGACAAGGTCTTCATAACCACCACCACCACCGCCGCCGCAACTATGCTTTCTGAAAGAACGAGGTGATGGGCTTTGCTCCCTTCGGGACAGCGGTGACTCCTGCCTTCGTG